ATGTGACCCCGAGTATTTTGGGGTAGATGGTGGTCGGAATTGTATGCCCCTCGACCTGCACATTCAACGGCATTCTCATCTCCGCAGTCCATGTGGTGAATAGTGTGGCTGACGACTTCGAAGCGGATATTTTCATATTCCTCGCTTTGAAGAATGCTGCTAAATCGATGAGATAGGCGTTCAACCTCACACATATGTCTTCAACAATGAGACCCGACGCCATAATCGTACAATCATCTGCATACGTAACGATTTCAATGCCGTCCGAAGTGCGTGGAATACCGGAAAGGTAGAGGTTAAACAGTTCCGGAGAAATCACTCCACCCTGGGGAACTCCCTGTTTAACTCTACGGGGTTTGGACTTCTTGTTCCGGAACTGCACGTACGACTGGCGTCCACACATATAGTTGATTATCCAACGTTTCAAACTCGGCCGGAGGGAAGTGTTCTCTATGTCCTCAAACAGCGTGGCATGGTTGACAGTATCAAAAGCTTTTGATAGGTCAAGCGCTACCAACACTGTTCTATCGCACGGCCGGTTCTGGTTAAGTCCTCTACTTATATGCGTGGAAATGGCGTGCAACGCTGTTGTTGTACTGTGTTGCTTACGGAATCCATGTTGATGATCTGCAACTGGATAGCTTTCTCTATTTATTAGTGGGGAATGCATGGCATTGTTTGCCGAAGGGTAAGGCAGGGAAGACTATAGTTTCGGATCACGCCACTGATCCTTATCAGTTCACTTAGAGTTTTGTTGGGATGTTCTCCCCAGATGATATTTATTGCTTCTATACAAAAAAAAAAAAACCTTTTATACCCAAATGTCTCTTGTAACTAAGCGAAGTACTTAGCTGACCAACGCTTTGTTACAAGACATTTTTTGTGGGGCTATTTGAAGGAAGTTGTGTATATCAATAAACCCCAAACAATTCAAGAGCTTAAGTACAACATTCAAGAAGAAATAAGCAACTTGGAACCAGAAACTCTACGGACAGTAATGGAAAATGCGGTTAAAAGAGCCAATTTTTGTTTGCAAGAAAATGGACACCATTTGAGGGATGTTATATTTCACACTTAAATGTAAAAAATTTCCACGAATTAAATATTTAAAAACATAAAAAATCAATAAAAATAAAAACAAACAATTACAGTTATTTTGAATCCTTCAGTCCTTTTTGGGCCACCTTGTACTACTTTGATATAAGTATTAAATACTTTTATAACAAATATTTTCATAATAGTTATTCTATGACTGGAATTAGGAATTAGAAATGAAAAAACCTGAATTTATTTAAATTAATCTCCCAGTATAACTTTCATTATTTGTCATGTCTTTGACATCGATCAATGCGGGGTTTCCTATCACGCAAAAAATTGATCAACAGGACATCAGTGGTGACTAATTTTACACACAAAAAATAATCATATCATAAATAATAGTTTCCCACAGAAACTTATTTATTTATTCCATTCAACAATACAAGTATTTACAATGACATAATGTCCCGATAATCTAATTAATATTATTAAAAAATTAATTTTTTATTTGTTACCAATAAATTTTATTATTTCATAAATATTTTGAACGATCATTTGCTTTATCCCTCTTGTTTGCAATCTTTGAACCAAATTGGATTGCCCTTTTTTTCAGAAATGCCACATCTTTTAAGCCAAGTCTATATCCAAATAATCGCAAAAATAATTTATCACCTATACCATCCTCATACAAAAAACAGCATCTTTGATTTGGTTTCAAGCTTCGAACAAATTTTACAACATTTTCTTCTATAAAAGGGGCTCTCGGTGTTCTACCACTGTCAGATATTACCCTATCGTCTCTGGCCAAGTTGCGTGTCGGTATCCTAAGCCAATCCTTTTCTAATTCATTTAGGAGACATTTTTCTTTTTCATCTTGCGAACCAATACAGCGATTAAAAGCATTTTTGTGTCTAATATAACCTCCAAATAATTCATCAGCACCACTTCCAACTAATACAACCTTTAAGAAAAAAAAAAATATATCGTTAAATTTACACAACTTTATACTAATATTTTAAGATATACTCACTTTTGCAGTGGATTCATAATTCTTTCCAAACAATAATCCTTGTCCTTGTGACGCAAACCAAAACGCACATCCAATTGATTCGTCCAACACCGTGTTAAGTGGGTATATTAAATGTTTTATCCTGTTGGAAAGATAGGTGTGCAAACTTTTCCGAGTTACATTTACTTCAATAAAGTTCCAGGTTCTATCAAAATAAGGAAAAGTTAATGTGACTGTCAATACATTAAATATTCGAAAAACGATACCTGTGAGGACATAATCTCTTCAATGATTCCAGGGAGCTTATAGCAGACTGTCTATCGGGTACATTCCAATTTTCGTTCTGAGAGTTTAATGCTTCAAAAGAGACATTGATAAGATCAATGGCGTCCTTTCTGTTAGCAAATTTATCCGCTAGAATTGCTAAAATCGAACAATCTATTCCTCCTGAAAATAGTACGGCGATTTTGGAATGATTGCAGTTCAAATAACGTGGATAGCATTTTGCACAAGACGGTGTTGTTTTTGACACTCGTTTTTCTACAGAGTACTCTAGAAGTTGGGAAAACTTGTCTAAAGCTGCTAGCACTTCACAGTGTTCCAACAGTCTATTATATTTATCTGCATCGCTTGATTTATTTTCTATATACAGGTCGTAAAAATTAAAGTAAAACTGAACACAGTATGTTTACGTTAATATATTTAAATTTATTTATTTATTTACCTCCTGATTGTTGGTGCAGATCTGTAACCAAGATGGGTTGATAGGATACTCAATATTAATTGTTAAGCCAATCGTAGACTCAAATGCTTCGCTTTGCAATTTCCAATTCTCATCCGGTTGCTGCCATGGAAATACAATACAACTATTACGTTCGTCCTTATGCATTTTATAGATTCCGAGAGGTGGCAATTCGATTGTTACAACATTAATTTCGTTTTGTCCACCTAAATGAAAATAGTACTTCTATCAAAAATCCTCATACATGCCATAAATTTTCTTTTACATGCCTTGCGACAAATATGATGTACTGAGAATTCGTAAATGATCCTTGTTGTTTTCAATTAATAACGAGTTCCGACCCAAGCTGTCACGTCCAAAATATAAATATCCATTTTGTTTATCAAAAAACATGAAACTATATGGACCTTCAATGTTTCGAATGCAATTTATGAACTCATGTTCATCTTTAGCTGCAGAAAATTTGTTGAAAATCCACTGGGTGTCTGATATCTCACAGTCGTTATCGTGCAAATTGAAAATATCACCATTAAAAATAAGTACATTTGAATCAGTTTCAATTGGCTGTGCACAAATTTCAGCACCCTGATGGTGCAGCACAAAACCTCCAAATGCAATGCCATCGATGTTAATAACTAATTTTGAATTTGGTCCGCGGTTTTGAAGAATATCCAGCAAGTCCTTTAAATTTTGTATTTAAAATAAAATATTTGCTATGTCATAGGTAATTAATTGAAATTGCAACATACTTTATCCAAACATTCATGGCTTCCTTTTGAAAAGCAACAATATATTCCACACATCTTTAAATAAACTGATTTCAAAAGAATAGATAGAAAACTATTTTGGAAAAGTCGAATTTAATGATTATATGATTTTCATGAGGAAGTCCATACTTCTTGAGATATGAGTTCCGGCATTCATATGGCAAGATCCCATAAATAAAATAATTATGAGCATATGAATTAGGAAATTCAAAGACCCCGATCTCTGGAAAAATGGGCTTCCCCCATAAGTGATATATATTCATGATATGAAAGACGAGCCCTAAACTTAAGTCTTTTTTTCTCGAGGAAGAAACAATTCCGAGTTAGGGTCCGGTCGCGGATCGTTTAAATTTTTTACCATAGGCATTCTTTGAGTCTTTGATAGCAATGGTATAAGTTATTTCTTGCGGAAATAAGTAGTTTCGGCGATATCGGTCTATAAAGTTCAATTCGTACCCTTGTAAAGCGTTTGGAGTCCTGATTACAAAACGGTAATATTCTTATCGAAGAAGTCCATACTTCCTGGAGTATGGGTATTAATTAAAAAGTGGTTGAAATGCAACTTGTATGAATATAATTATGTTATAATTTCCATTAAATTAGAATAGCATTTGTGGGTGGGATTAAGGACTCCTATGAGCAGTTTCCAAATTCGATAAAGCGATAAACAAAATTTCGGAACAGATGAACCAATATACAATATAGTGCAAAAAATGCACTCGAGATGATGAAAGTTTTAAAATGCGCAAATCCTTAAAGTACCGACTACTGGTACACATACCATATTTCTCTGTAATAAATGCCCCAAATACTAGATATAAAAGAAAATTCAAAACGATCCACCACCGGACCTTAAATTAGACTTTAGCCAAATTGTGGAGTACTTTGGATACTTTCCCAGTAGTTTGATTTCAAAAGTAACACTTTTCTTGGGCTACTTCCCGAGAACCTGGTTACGCCTCTTCCTTTCATTTTCTTTAGTCGTTCCATACGCTGAATTCTCAAATACTCTGAAGCACATCTACTTTGGCTTATGTTGAGTTTATTGGCCTAACTTCGATTTTTCCAAAATTTACCACAGGTAGATTTCGTCTCTCTGATGACTATATGACTTTCGTGGGGAAGTCCATACTTCCCGTGATATGGATCTCTGAAGTTACAAAATTCATAAGTTCCTAACTTCGTCAAAAAAATCCGAAATGAGCCCCTAAAATCAATTTACTTCGATATTTTACTTTAACCCATGCATCTGGACTATAACTGATTTGCAAATAACTGGCTATAAAACGTATTAACATGCCGGAAGGAAATGGATCGCAAACCATACGACAATATTCTATAGACGACTCTACCGACAAAGTTCATAAACTCTTACTAAATTGTAAATTTTTTTGTAAAGCGCCCGGCAGCTGTGCTAAATTTTCTAAATATTAAAAATATTAAATATTAACTACGATCCAATACGAATCAAAAAACAAAAAAAAAAACATTCAGTTTTATGGGTTCAGGAACGGTTTTCGAGTAAAAAGTTGCAAAACGTGTAAAATTAGTAGATTCTTTTAGGTTCTGGAACGGAACTAAAATAAAAACGACGACTGAAAAAATTGAAAAACGTTCCACCTGCTAACGAATGGGAGGAGAAGACAAAATGGCAAAAGACAAAAGATGAACTCAAAATGGTATAACCGAAAGTTTACGAATGAGGTGGGATAGAGACTAAATGGAAACCGTGTTGTTTACGAATGAGGTTTAGGCAAATTATGATTTGGGATAACTAAATCGACTTTTGACTAATCGATTAATCGGCATTTTTATTGAATAGCATCATGATGCAGAGTTGCAGAGTTGCCAACCATGTGAAATTTTATATGGAACAATTGGACAGAAGGTCGAGACAAAAACAAAGGTTTTTGTTGTGATACATCACCATATTATTGCATCATGGGACTACCTATTCATTGTGCCATGGTACAGTACTTTTCGCTTATAGTCCATTACGCTTAAAGGCCAAAAACGGATGTAAGCGAAAACAGTACTATTTACTGACAAGTTGAGCCGTCCGTCGCGTTATATGTTATCGAAATTACAACAACCACAAGGAAACGATAACTAAAACGCTCGAAATTGATGTGCGCTGCGCTTCGGAGTTAAATATATTTTAACTTTTTGCGTGCGTTAACGCGATAACAAAAACCGCTCAACGCGAACATTCTGTTTAGCCCTTTAGTCTACTTCATCTATAGTCCATTTTCGCTTAAAGGCCACATATTCTGTGCATGGAAAAGTAATATTGCATTGTAAAAAATTTCATATAGTCCAACCTGTTTTTTTATATATTTTAAATTTTCATAGCATTTAGATTTCTGGAAACATTAACAAATGTAAAAAAATTCTAAATTTATAGAAGTTGCAAAAATGGATAGACGTGTTTTATTACTATGAAGAAAATGGAATGAAATGTAAACAACTGTTGAAGTTTTTAATTGCATCTAACCTATTTATTGTACCATGCTTTATAAGAAATTTTAGATTTCGTTCAAATTATAAGTCATGATTTAGATTAGGCGAGTTTACTTGCGGCAAGTCTTTGTTTGTAGGAGAGAGGGGCAAGGGGAATAGAAATGAAAAAAAATGCTTGTACCGACAATTTTCTGGCAATTCGTTTTGTGTATTTCGTATTTGTTGACATTTTATATATACATATATTTAAATGTGAAAAAATCAACAAATAGAAAAATATTTTAGAAATCGAATTGCCTTGTATAGACGCATGAAGCAAGTTCAAAATAGAACGACAAGAATTGCCGCAAGTAAATTCGCCTAGTCTAAATCAAGACTAAATTGAACAAAACTCATTTTTTGAAAAAATACAATCGTTTGTTGTAAATTCCATAAAATAGAAGCAAAATAAGATTAAGGAATTCTTTTAAAAATCGTGAAAAATTCGCATTTCACATATGATTTAAACATCCACAGATTTAAAATCTTTTTATTTTTTTTTTCATTACAATAAGCTTTAAATCATTTGAATTAAAATAAATAATAAATATCATAAATTTACTTATTATTTATTTTAATGAACATTAATTTTAGTTAAAAAAGTACATACGTTAGTTCCGTTCCAGAACCTAAAAGATTCTACTCATTTTACATGTTTTGCAACTTTTTACTCGAAAACCGTTCCTCAACCCACAAAACTGGTAAAAAATTGACTCAAATTTAAGAGAGCAGAAAACAAAATGGCGTTCTCTTTGTAAAATTTTTACTCGAGAAATTTGGCCGAGTAAAAATGGTAAATGATTGGCTGTTATCATGGTATAATAATAGAAGGTAACAGCAAGTGTTGTTGTACAAAAAACGATACAACAACCACATGGAAATTTGTTTTTGTAAGTTCTACTAGTGTCAACTCATTTGACAGAAAAATGTAAACAAATAAACAAATTATCATCAAATTATTTTTATTTTGAAAATGAAATATTTTCGAATCCTCAAAATAAAAATTGAAAAACATGAATGAAAATCTATCAAATTTATATTTCTATCGCTTCCACATCTTTCCTATAATTGAGCCATTGCCATATATATGTGTAACACATATGAAAATGCTGGGAATAGCGAGTTATTTCTTGAAGAAAGATGTGCTTCCTCAAACTTTCCCAGCAGGCAGATTGAGTAAATTGAATACGGGAGCACATTTAATAATGAACAATTTCAAATTGTATCCGTTCCCAATTTTCCTGTTGGGTGATTTTTAAAAACATAATTTGTCAAATTCATATTGACACTAGTATTACGTTGGAATCAAATCAGCTGGGATTTGCTGTTACCTTTTATAATTGTACCATGGGCTGTTATGTTGATTTTGAAGTATTGCCATCTAATTTTGGCATATTTACTAGATTTTTGTTCCCGCACTTTTCAAATTATTTTCTACTCTGAGAGCAATTTTGAAATGTTTCCCTTTTACTAGATTTACTATTAAAAAAGTACTGGAACAGACCAGTTGTGTATAGTCTATGACGAGTATTATATCAGGATTAAGTTATAGTCCATTAAAGGACTTAAAACGAAATTCGGATATAGTCCTATTTCGCTTATAGTCCACAAAATTTGTGCAACTATAGTTGTGGACTTTAAACGAAAACTAATGTATATGCCTTTTTACAGATGCCATATTAAAATCACCAAGAACTCAAATTCTATCGGAATCATTCATAGTATTAGCAATTGAGTTTAGTGCTGCTAAATGTTGATTATAAATATCAAGATGTGCTGAGGGCATGTAACGAATAATTTAAATTTACCCAATTCAATTGAGTTGCAGATAAATTCTATGTCAGAAAAACATTTGAATTCAATTAAATTAACACTAGAAAGCCGAAGGCAGTCATTTTGACCGCTTTCCAATTTCAAGTAAAAAAGCAACTGTGCATTTAATGACACTTTTTTTTAAATTTGGTGACTTTTTGTATCTCATAGAATTACGTTTATTATAAACAAATCACCAAATTTAAAATAAAAGTGTCATTAAATGTACAGTTGCTTTTGTACTTGAAATTGGAAAGCGGTCAAAATGACCGCCTTCGGCTTTCTAGTGTTAAGGGAAAATTTGGCATCAACTGAAATAAGGACGCCGCCACATTTTTACCAGTACGATCTTTTCTAAATATTTGATATTTTGAACACATAATTTCACTATTTAATACAGACGTTTTGAGCCAGTAATTTCCATTTAGAGAAAGAGGTTCACCTAATCAGGCGTAAGCTTAAATTCGTAAAATCGTCAGCTCCCGAAAAGAGCAAAGTGATAAAGTCGGGGGACGCTCACTGCCTATGACAAAGTTACGTCGAAATCTGTCGAGATAACTGACTGATAACCATAAGGGGGATCGACTGGCGAAGGACTCTGCCTCGAAGCCCCCTCCAGCACCAGTAATCAAAAGTGAAGCGGGTGAAAGTGAGGAACATAGTCTGGCCAAGTCAGTTAAGGAACCATCGCATTCGATCCTCCGTAGGTCCTCAAACTTCTCTTGAGAAGACGATGACTTTGCATCTGGTTGACCCATCAGCTTCGTATGCGGCCGTTGAACGTACAACCAAGGTTTCGTTTGAGGAATTCGCTGATTACATGATGTATATTATTATTAAGTTCAATAGAATTTATGGTTATAGATTTGTATGCAGATGCATGCTCATTCCAGATTCTCAACACGCTGTATGTCACCAGGTTTCTTTCTTCATCTCTACAGGAAGATGTGCCTGCACCAAAGCCTTCGGTTTGGTGTTTTACTCGTTGGTAAAATTTGCGGACTTCATTCTGATTCCTGCACATCTCGATTTGCTCACGCTGACGTTTTTGATAATATTACCAGCCTTATTCTGGATATTCGCTGGGAGATAACTCGCATGTAAAAAAATTTTCGCTTTCACATTCTCGCCTTATTCTGAATGTGTACTTTTTTAACCCGATTGTACTTTTTATAATATATATTATATATATATATATATATACAGTATTTTTCGGTTAATTGCACATCAAAATTTGCACACATTTTTGTTCAATTAACCGAGGAACCAATTATCCGAACCCGCTTAATTGAATAGTTTGTTCAATTACAGCAATCACGTATAATTGGAACTACTAATGATTTAAAAAAATCCAATGTCAAATACAAATTACGCTTTCTCGCAGTTTTTCCTTTGCAATAAATATATGTTTTGAATTAATAGAGATGCCACCTAGTCTTTTTCACAATTTATGTCAAATATGTATGTAAAAAATGGCATATTATTTTTCAATTATTATTATGCAATTAACAGGTGAAAAGTAAAAGGAAATTTATTTTTGATGACATTAATTTTGAACCAATTAAGCGGGAAAATCAATTAACAGGGTTTAATTATCCGTGTATGTATGTATTTTCCATGTATTTTCCTATGAAATATTTTTTGCCCCATCATGTGGTTCAATTAAGCGTGGAAACCAATTAACCGTAGGGTCAATTAACCGAAAAATATTGTATATAATATATTTTAATAAAATTTGTATTGTTATTAAAAAATAATAGAAACATACATAGATAAGTTGAACACTTGGAACTTGACAAAAAAGGTACATACAAATTCATTTGTTCTTCGTACTTATAAGACTTATATATAAAATGATCAATTAAGTAGAACTTTTTTGCAACATATTCTTATGTATCGTTAGCAGCAAATCCTTCGTTAGGATAAGATTTGAAACAATCGAAACATGTAATCATTCCCTTTCTTTGGATTTAATTATATTTTGATATGAAAAAAATCTTTCCACAACCGCAGACGAAAAAAACAAATTATGATATATAAGTAGATAAATCTTCGTTTAGTTCATTTTTGACTTCAGCCACCTTTGACCAAAAAGTGAATATATTGTAGATATATTGGTTTTGAAAGACTTAATAACTGCTACATGCATTCTGGCATACTTAGACTGCATTTCTAAATTGATATTATTTATAATTCTTAGTACATATTGTAAGAACAATAATAGCATTTTTTAAAAATTTTTTTTGAAAATGCTGAAATAATAGAATTGAGCCTTAACTTTTAAGAATCAGCTTCGAAATTATTGAGTGAAATAATATTGAAGAGAATCCCAATGCCCAGTGAAAGCCGTCGAGTTATTGAGTATTTAAAAACAACATGAATATCTGTAGCGAAATATTCCTGAAACTTTGAAAAATCATCTCTCTCAGAGAACTGTTACATAAATATTAATTAATATCTTTATCTATATCTGAATTTTGAAGCGGCATAGGACACTAAGTTTAAGCTATGGCAAATTCACCCATTCGTAACGACAGCGGGGGATGGCGATTCATTTCATGTTGTATGTTTAAGCACTTATAATACTTTTAAGTGAGAATAATTTGATACAATTGAAAATTTGAAAAAACAAAATAGTGCCAAATATGTCATTGGGGTGCTATTGTATTTTTGACTTCCAAATAGAGCTAAAATTAGTACAATTGAACCAACTTTTGCATACCTGGAATAGGGAGACGCAAAAAATGCGAGATGCGGATTCGAGTTTTCGAAAATGGTGGTTGAAAAAAAGATTCGCATTGCCATATTGTAATTTAAGTTGTAATGTGTGTTGCCCCATTGTAATTCAATTGTTTTAAATTGTTCAATATTTTATTTATTGATTTTTTATTAAAAATGTTTACTTTTTATTGTTATTTAAACATTATAACAACAAAAATGTGAAATATCAATAATCCGCTGTATAAATGCTTTGTAATTGAAAGAAAATAAATTAAAGTTTGAAAATATGGCAACCTACAATATGGCATATGAAACAGCTGTTCATTGTTTTGATGCAATTTGGTGCAACAACTAACAATAGATTACAAATAAAAGAACATTTATGATGGCAAAAACACAACGAATAAAAGGAAGAAATCTGCGATTGAATTAATTATTTCACAGTTTATTATTTCACTACATAATTGTGTGTGTTTTTTATTTAATTTCGATATTTCGTCTCCTAAAATTCTTAAAGTGGCCAGTTATGATTTGCTCCTACTCCTTTATTTCTTCCTTCAAATCATGTACACGATAATTCTGAAAAAAAAATATTTTTTGTATCTTTATTTTTGTTCTTTCATAATTTTCATTTAAGTTTTTCCCTGTTAAGCGGCTCGTCAGGCAAATTTGGTTTTTCCATAATTTTTAAAATTTTTTTCTTGAGACAGATCCTCACCCAAAATGTCTGTATTTCGCCTTCAAAATGCACCAAACTCGACTTAAATATTCCTTATTATTTTTAACTAGAAAACAACAAATAAAATGCCATTGGAAATCCTAATGCATGCTAAACCAAATATTGCCAAGGAATGTATAAAGGTAATAAGGAATATTTAAATTGTGTTTGATGCATTTTGAAGGCGAAATACAGACATTTTGGGTAAGGATCTCTGTCTCTCAAGAAAAAATTTTAAAAATTATGGAAAAACCAAATTTGCCTGATGAGCCGCATAACATTAAAAAACTTAAATAAAAATTATGAAAGAACAAAAATAAAGCCACAAAAAATATTATTTTCCAAATTATCGTGTGCATGATTTGAAGGAAGAAATAAAGGAGTAGGAGCAAATCATAACTGGCCACTTTAAGAAATTGGGGAGATAAAATATCGAATTAAATAAAAAGGAGCACAATTATGTAGTGTAATAATAAACTGTGAATTAAATAATTCAATCGCAGATTTCTTCCTATTATTCGTTGTGTTTTTGCCATCATAAAAATGTTCTTTCTAATCTATTGTAGTTGTTGCACCAAATTGCATCAAAACAATGAAAAGCTGTTTCACATCCCATATTGTAGGTAGCCATATTTTCAAACTTTAATTTATTTTCTTTCAATTACAAAGCATTTATACAGCGGATTATTGATATTTTACATTTGTATTCTTATAAAGTTTAAATAACAATAAAAACATTTTTAATAAAAAAATTAATAAATAAAATATTGAAAAATATTACACAATTAAATTACAATGGGGTAACACACAATGCAACTTAAATTACAATATGGCAACACGAATCTTTTTTTCAACCACCATTTTCGAAAACTCGTATCCGCATCTCGCATTTTTTGCGTCTCCATATTCATTCAGAATAAGGCGAGAATGTGAAAGCGAAATTTGTTTACATGCGAGATATCTCCCAAGCGAATATCCAGAATAAGGCTGAATATTCTAAATTGTCATAGAATAAGTATTGTGTAAATATTTTTCATAAAAATATTTATTACTTATGTTTTTGTAGTCAGCTCCCTTTGAATTTATTAGCAAAAATTTCGCACAAAATGTCATCTCATTCTCCTACTCCCTGTAATCCAGAATACCTAATTTTTCCCCAAAGCGGATTTTTTCGCTTTCGAACTTCATTCAGAATAAGGCGAAAGCGAGAATGCGAAAAAATTCACAGGAAAATGTTGTTCAGAATAAGTCGAAGGGGAAGAGCGAGTAAATTCACGTGGAATTGACATCCAGAATAAGGCTGTACATGTTAATATATTACAATGTAAATCTGGACATATATTCCCATTGTACACTTTCTCTGCAAATTTCTTCAGAAGTCCTAAATAAATTGGTTGAATGTAATTTTAATCGTGTTTATTGTTAATATGTATTAAATAGTAATTATAAAAAGAATACATTCACGCTAACAATTAACTTAATTAGTAATGTGTTAAGATTCATTGTATGTTTTAAACATCCAAGGCATTGAATTTGGGTCATAAAAATAACAACATTGTATATTTCGGTCTATGCATAGCTTCTAAACGTTGTAAATAAGCTGTATAAAACACGCAAAGTTGACTTTAGATCCATATTTACGATATCTGTAAAAAATAATAATAGTGTTTTGTAATTATTTGTTTAGCTGTAAATATGAGCTGTTCATGCAGTAACAGATTACCTTCTGGCCGGGCTTTTGGTTTGGGCAATCCTGCATCTTGCATAAGATCAAATGAAAATGCAACATTTGCCACCATTTGATCCGTGTCTTGAGGAGTTAGGTGAAATTCGTGCAACGGTACAAAAAATCCTCCTAGTAAACCCATTAGAAGACACAAATACACACCATCGCGAAAATCGCTATTGAGGTCGTTGATTTCGAAATTCAATTTGGACAAATGTTTATTCACGAAAGTAATGAGGGACTTTTTAACCACCGCTAATTTATCAGGGGCACAGTCAAACAAAGTATCGAAAGCATCTTTTTCACAACGCATACCGACATCGTCATATTCAGATGTAATTTGCTCTTGAAATTTTCTATAACGATAAATGTTATTATATACATAAATAAGTAAAGCAGGCAAACTTACTGAGCATTCAAAACTCCTCCATTCTTTTGAGCAATCACTACCGTCACGAATACATTTTCTGGAAGACGTACAGGTGCTCTAAAATGCCTTACTAAAGCAACCAGCAAATGCAAAATGGCAACGATATTTTTTGAGTGCACGCTTTCAACTGACCATTTTGGTATTTTTTGGTGAAATCCCAAAGTCTGTGCAACAAGAGAGTATATTGTGGATTAAGAATAAGAGTACATGCTAATAAACTCAAGTTTGTATAGTAATAAAAAAAATAATACACAATTATATATATATATATATATATATACAGTGGTGGTCACGTAATTAAAACAATTTTTGTTATTTGATCAGCCCTCCAAAATTAAAAATTAAAACATTTATTGTGGTAAACATTTTTTGATCAGCCCTCAGAAAATTACCCTTATTATTTGAAATAAAAACTCAAAAAATGGGAATTAACCTAAAGGAACAGTTCAATTTCTATAGTCTTTATTGAAGAAGGCAGGAATATTATTCAATTCAATTTATTTCATAAACGAGAACCTAGCCCAAAGGGCCATGAGCGATTCCAAAAACTTCTTTACATGAACTACTCCAAAAATTATTGCAGTATGTGAGAAAATATCAATTGATTACTTACTACTTACTTAGCTGGCATGTTACAGAACGGTTGTTCCATAAGCCGAGCTTAAAAAAGATTTCCAAGCGCGTCGGTCTTGTGCTCAAATCCTCCAATTAGGAAGACCACGTTCCAAGATATTGTTTTCTACTATATGCTGTACTACTCGAACAATCTATTTGATATAATAAATGCCAATATCAATCGATATTTTCTCACATACTGCCTTCTTCAATACAGACTATCGAAATTGAACCGTTCCTTTAGGTTAATTCCCATTTTCTGAGTTTTTACTTCAAATATTTATTTATTTTGAGATTTATTGTTTTCTACTAATTTCTGGTGCATTCGGACCTTTATTTTCTATAAATAGGGTAAATTTCTGAATGATAGGTTAACTGTACGTGACCACCACTGTATATATACAGAACGTCTCAATCAGAGTGTGTATGGGATATTCATATAAATTTTTGAATTATTCTAGTCTTGCAGCAAATAAGCGATATATTCTTACTACAATGTGACGCGAATAAATGTATTGCATGTCTGTCTATTCGGGCACTTACATGATTTACAGCATTCAGAACAATATTTAATTTTTGTCTTTGCCCTTCTTCCGATTGTGTAACTTCAAGAACATCAAGTTTTTTGCCCGTTAACTTCTCCCAAAGCTTGTGTAATACCTTTTAAAAATAGTATGATATTTAAATGCAATTAGTCATTTATTTATTTTTTTTCTAGTTACCTGACCATCATACATATCTTCATCAATACTCTGCACTATAATACGTTGCTCAGCCAATTCATCGTTTATCCAATCAATTAAAATCTGTTGAAGTTTTCTAACCTCGGGATCATTCATTGATTGTGGGTCTATTACGGTACGTTGTTCATGTTCACCTTTTAAAATATAATACATTGCAAATATAAGAACAAATGATAAATCAAAATAGAGATGCTTACGTAGGGCATAGTCTTCTGGAGGAATATCAATTTGGCTCGGAGCTCCGGGAGAGTCAATAGCATGCTTTCCTTCTTCTTGAACTTTTTGAACTGAAAATATTTGTGAATTTATTTAATAATGTCTTATGCATAAACATTTAATTTCAATATGCAATTTTTTGTTTTATAATATGTTGTTATTATCCCCAAAATCCCATTTCAAACAATTTCTATCTATTTCCGACAGTCATTACAGAAATTTTTTTACAAACTGCAAAGTAGAAATTTAGGAACATTGTGCCATAAGTTCATAGCATTATTTACTGCAACATATATGGCCCAAGTTGAATACAATGCTTGTCACATTTCGTTTCGTTAAAAATTTGCACAATATGCTTATATATTTTCAGTGATAACCATCTATCCATGAATAAAATGTACTCCTTCTAATTTGTGGGGCCCAGATTTATATTTATTTATGCTAATGATTTCCATATAGGTTTAAGGGGAGTACATCTGCGTAACAGTGATCTAAAACTTACAAAGGCCTAAGATCAAGGCAATAATTGTCCATAAACAAACATATGTTACTGTAAATGAATATTGTTGTAGCAATCCCATTGCTTTCATACCCATTGCGTACATGGATAGTTGTGGGCGTCAATGTTTATATTTTCTTGTATTGCTTGTGTATAGACATGTATATACAATTCTATAATAAACAATGACGTAATTTAGTCTAAAAAATAATATTCAACTTCTAATTACCATTGGATGAGTGTATACATATCTGAAATATTGTGCACTAATAATCAATGACATGAATTTGATGAATTTGTGTTGACATGTTATGTTAATGTCAGCCAGTTTCCTACCTTCTTTAGTTCCCTTTTTTCTTCCAAGTGTACTGAATTTGTCCCAAAAACTTTCTTCCTTTTCGCCAGATTTAATGGTGCTATTTGCATGTGGGGATTTAGGTCGATTCAATGTACTCATTTTTCTTCTCTACTTATAATGTTTTAATTACTACGAAATCAATAGATGTAAATAACAGGGTGCGTTAATAGAGCAAATATGAAAGACTCATTCGTCACAAACGCTTCTAATAAACTGAGCAAAAGTTTCACACCTTTGACCAGTGTTGCCAGTTTAAGGGATTTATCTCCAATTTGGGGATTTTTATTTGGAAATGGGTATACTATTTTTGGTCTGGGAATTTTTAGGGGATTAATTTCTAATACAATCAATGAACTTGCGATGTGATTATAGGGATGCATTTTTATCGCAAAAAATATGAAAGACATATTTTAAGTACTTACAATACGAGATTTTTCAAAACTTATAAGTGTCGTTTGTGAAATGGACGGAATTATATGGAGATGATGTTTCAAGCAATGTGTGTTCTTTTTGGAAGAAAATGTATTTATTTGTATTTCAATGCAAAATCATGTACAGATTTAAATATGATTTGAATTCTTTTAGTTTTACACATTTTTTTAGTTCGTTTCTTTTTTAATATGAATACTTCCAAAAAAATACAATTACAATAAACAACTGAATCCAATCCCGTACTGCAAGAATCTACTTACTTTTATTATACTTTAGATATCAAAAAAAAAATTGTTATCGTAAAAAAGTTGTACATTCTTGCAGGTTCTGGTCCGGAAGAATCTACTAATTTTTATTATATTTTTCGATAAGATAAAAATAACAGATTTTTGGAATATAGGAACAGACCAATAATTATTACAAAATAACTACTCAGTTCCCGCGCCAGTTTTACCGCTAGGATTTTTGAAAAGTTGCACAAAAATTGTTTTCTTTAAAAAAAAGTCGCACAGAAAAGTAGATTTTTCAAGAAAACTCTTCCAACTGTGCGTTATTAAGAACGACGTATAAAAATCCAAATTGGTTTGAATTTACGCAAAAAACAGATGTTGTTGACGTAATAAAAAAGGGGAGAAAGGCAGCACAATGCTGTAAAAGTTGCACACATGATGCAATAATAAGGTGATGTATCACAACAACAACCTTTGTTTTTGTCTCGATTATCTGTCAAATTTTTCCATATAATATTTCAAATGGTTGGCAACACTACACAACGAACTCAAGTAGAAATTACCTATTCATTGTGCCATGGTTGCACATTAATCTACGAGGCATCAAAAGAGACGCAACGCACAACGGCAACCCTGATAAGCACACTGACTGGTGGAAGAATAAGACAGCAGGCAGCAGTATGAAAGAATAACATATAATATACACCTAAGTCTGTTTTTACACGGTTTTGATCAAGATCTATTAATAAGGTCACCAAGATAGCAATCGAAATCGGAAAACAGCTGTTTTTTCTCAGATCTAATGTCAAAAATGTCGACTTTGTTTACGTTTTCACAATGGAAGTCAATTCACAATAATGTATTTTGACAGCAAACTTGAGAGGTATCGATTATCAGCTGGTTTTGATATAACACGGTTTGAAAATTTAATATTTTTAATTTTGTTATACGATTTTATTCCATTTAGCACGATTTCAAATTTTATGTACTTAAATTTTTTTGTCAAATTTAATTTTTGCAAAGTATGTTCATATTACAAAAAAATTATTAATGAAAGAAAAAATCTGAAACCATCGATAGTATCGATAGTTTGCGAACATTAGCTTAAAGATTTAAGTGAATTCCCCTTTAGCGCATACAAACAATTTTTACTGGTCAAAGCAAATGTGAATAGCATTAATTTAGGGGAATTCCCTTTATGTATAAGATCAATGTGAAGCGTATCAACTCTATTTTATTCAAATTTTAATTACAATAGTATAAACACATACGTTTTATTGATCATTTAAATACTAAAATGCAACTCAGTTTTAAACATTTGAAATTAACGGTTAACTATGTAAATAGTACTAAAAACTACATCTGTGAATCTACTACATTATTACACAACCAATACTAGACGATGATCTTGCTTCTCATAAGTAGTACCTAACCTCAATTTAATTTCAATAAAATCAGCTTCACTCCGAGTCCTGGACCACCCGGCTCTAATTCGTTTAGCGGACACTGAAGGCTTAAGATCATTACCCACGCTTGCCCAAGTTGATGGACTAGATCATAAGCGGGAAGTAGTTCCTAAACAAGGAGTAGCCATCATTATTGTAACTCTTGTTGTTTCGAATTTCTTTATTGGCGCCCAACGTGGGGCCAGCCTCATTGAAACCCAAGGAGCTTTCTTTAAATGTATTTTTTTATACGGGTTTGTTTACACGGCTTCTTCTGGAACCAATCTACCGTGTAAAAATAGACTTAGGTGTACTGAGTAAAAGCGGGTTTACATATATAATTATATAATTATCTTTCTCCTGAATATAGTAAGAACCTATGGCTAATAAATTTTCATTCATGTTTTTTTTTTCATTTTTCTAAAAAAGTAGATCTTTTTAATATTGCTGGGATATGTCACATCCCAGTAAACATTTTTTTTCACAAATATAACCAAAAAGTTTAAAAAATCCGACGAAACCCCTTATATGCGATTTCTAATTTTTATTAAATTAGTCATACTGTTCGGGAAGAAATGAACAATGTACTCGTCCCTTAGTCCCTCTTTCATCTCTATTTACATCACTCGATGGTATCAACGCGCAAGACGTCCAGTAGTTTCGGACCAACTGTGTAACTTGAGAACTACAGCTGCGAGGTAGTCAAAGATTTTATACACATTGGTACCGGCATAAACAAAACGAATGACATCAGTTTTGAAATTCGAAGAAATATAGTTATGGCCAATAGATGCTACTTGGTCTTAGCAAACAACTCAAAAGCAAGGCCACCTCCCGCCAGATCAAACTCATACTCTATAAGACGCTGATACTACCCGATCTGTTATATTGCATCATGAAACGAATAAAGAACTAAGCAGAATGATCGCTTTGAGCGTTTTTTTTGTTTTTTGTTATAGCGTTAACGCACGTAAAAAGTTAAAATATATTTAAATCCGAAGCGCAACGCAAATCAACTTCAAGCGATAGACTTTTCGATACAAAGAATCGATTAGTTGAAAGTAGGGTTGTTCTACTAGTTCAGTCAACTGACCGCTCTTTGTTCTCAAACAAAAACCTTTGTTTTTGTCTCGACCTTCTGTCAAAATTTTCCATATAATATTCCACATGGTTGGCAACTCAGCACATCGAATTCAAGTAATGTCATGTCCAGACGAGCGTTGTTCGCTCTCTCATTCGTTGTTCGACCCTTAATTATGAAGGAATTACTTAGTTCCTCATACAAAATTGTCTGAGCGAACACCGACTTTTGTACGTTGTTCAATTCGAATCACTCTCTGAATAACCAATAAATTTGTCCCATCCCTAACAATTGAGAGTATTTATCGAAAATAAATTAATTTTGACAGTTTGAAAATATTTATGAAATTTTCAAACTTTTTCAGTAAAATTGAAAATCATGAATGAAAAGTAAAAAATTGTATAGTTTTTATATATGCAGCAGGATGTAAATTTTGTTTTCTACATAATGCAATATGCATTTCTTTTCCCTTGGTTCTAATTAGCGTACAAAACAAGAAACAAATGAGGGGCAACTCAAACAAAAAATTCTCCAAAATTTTATTTGTGACAGTATGTGACATTTGAATTGAGAAAATATAAAAATGTATTAAAAACAACAACATTTTCAGAAAAAATGGAAAACATGAATGAAAAGTAAATAGATATGGGTTCATACTATAGTCAGGAGAAAGAGAATTATTTTTTCTATTTAGATCTCTATGTAATTCACTAAAATATGTTACATATTTGGTGTAAAACAAGAAACAAAAAGTTTGAAATAAAAAACTCTGATGATATGAATTATGAATAGTGTTGTATGAACGGGTTAATTCATGTACGTAATTCTGAGAGCGAACTACGTTGTTCGGATGCCCGTCAGAACATGGCATAAAATTACCCACTTTGACAGTTCATCGAGACATCAGCTGCGCTAAATGGACTACCTATTCATTGTGCCATGAACATGTCGTTGTAGCCATATTTTCAAACTTTATTTATTTTCTTTTAATTAGAAAGCAGTTTTACAGTGGTTTTACATATTATTATCAAATAACAATAAAATTATTATAAATTGAAATAACAATAAACCATTTAAAAAATCTAATAATAATAAAATATTACAAAATTAAATTACAATGAGGCAACACGATTTTTTTTATCGAATTAGTAGGTATCTAGTATCTCGCATGCTTCTCCCATTCATTCTGAATAAGGAGAGAATGTAATAGCTATTATCTATGTTCCAAAAATAATTATTACAAGGTAGGGCGCAGCTTTCAACAGATTAAAAGTTTTTTTCTCAAGGTGGCTTGTTCCATCAAATCAAAATACATATTTTGTGTATGTGTGTGTATTGTTTTGAATAATATGTCAAATTTAATAGAAAATTGATGTTTTTAACGCGTTCGTCAGAAGTAATAGTTCATGGTATTCCTACTAGATTTTGGAAAGAAATCAGACAAACAAGTTAGGCAGTATAGATGCAATGAGACATAAAAAATGACACAGTTAGCCAACGCATTTCAGAGTTTAAACGCAACCAGAGCGTCTAGAGTCAGCGACGGTCGTTTACCGTGTATTTCTTATTGGCAACGGAAAATCGCAACGGTTGACGTTCGCGTCTGACTCTAGAATAGATTTTATTAATTTTTGCTCAGCGTCATACACAAATTTTCTCCCTCGCTCTCAATTGTGTTGCCATATTTTAGGAAAAAATCAGCAGAGCTACCAACATTTCAATGGAAATTTATATCAAAACATATGGCAGTGCTGTTAAAAAAAAACAAATATTTTCAAACATGTGGACGTCCGACCGTCGCTGACTCTAGACGCTCTGGTTGCGTTTAGAATCTCAAGCCGCTAGACGCGAACATCAGACGTCGCGATTTTCCGTTGCCAATAAGAAATACATGGTAAATGACCGTCGCTGACTCTAGACGCTCTCGTTGCGTTTAGACTCTAACTCTTTTGTTTGGTTTTCACGCCGGCGAAAAAGTATGACGCTGACTCGTGACTCTCTGGTTGCGTTTAGACTCTTAGTGTAAGTGGTATTTATAAATTTATTTTAATGCGAAGTAAATTGATAATATTAATAACTACTGATTTCGATACTACTGTTTTTGGGACATTATATTGAAAGAACTGCAGCGTTATAAACAAATATTTATTTTCAACCACATCAAAAAATTAATTCACTTTTTAATGTTCTTAAAGCAGCTGGCCTGTCCTGTTTCCCCTTTAACAAACAACAAAATTCGGTGAATGCACAGCTGAATGGATTAATCAGAATTCACGTTTTTCTAAGATATGGATGTCAACCTTAAAAATAAGATTGGTTCCAATAAGAAGACCTTTCAACAAAAGAAAAAACCTCCTCCAAAGCCAAGGAGACGACAAAACGATATATACATAACTACCAAATCAAATTTTAAGGTATGAAATAATGATTTTTTCTTTATCATTTGCATTTGTATATCATTTCATTTGCATTACAGGCCCAACAAAAGTACTGCAAAGATCTTTTGGATTCGGGATTGAAAGAAATATATTTGCATTGTTTAGGTAACGCAGTAAATAGAGGACTTAATTTAGCGCTTGACTTGGTAAACAATTCCAATGAAACTTTAACATATGCTATAAACACTTCGACGATAAATTTAATAGGTAAGTGCACAGGACATATGTACGTATCTTGGAAATCATTTTGTTATTTTATTTATTTGTTTCATTCACTAATATTGAAGCATTCAAAGCCAACATATAGTATTTACAAAGCCATTGTGACCAATGTTTACCATAAAAAACTTAATTCTTCACTACATACAAATGGAAATTTCCATCATACCTTTGAATGCCCAACAAAATTGCAATTCCGAAAATCGAACGATTTCGTTTATATATATATATATTATGATAATTGTTTTTTTTTTGTGATGAGTGGAAGCAAGGATTGGAAGGATTTTTCAAGCCTTTTGTTTAATTAAAATTATGATTTTGAGATGTATCAAAAAGCATTAGCACCATGGAGAATGAAGTCCATTTAAAGAGGAAAAAACGCTTTTCCAGATCAAATGATATACTTACTTTGCTGTATATCGCGTTCACGTATTATTTGGGCTTAAAGATTTTAGTGATGCACACTGTAATATATAATACCATACTATAAGATTTTTAGGGCTCCTCTTGTGGTGTAGGGTATCATATAATCGGTCCGTCCGACTTTTGTCTTTACTGTTTTTATTTACGTATTGTAATGAGCATATAATTATTTAATTTGATTTAACCCTTCTTTTTTTTGTATTTCAGATGAATTCCACCCATTATGTGACGACGAAGACGTATCAATTCAAAGAAGGAATAACTCTGCGGTTCATATAAAAATTATACGAAACAGTGCATACGACATCGATTTTACTCTGTAAATAAACGTTTTCAATACACATATAGTCAAATAAAAAATGTTTAAATTATCGGAGCTTGTTCGGTGGCTTGGCCTCACCGAGTTTGAAATAATGGTAAATTTGTGTGGACTTCTTGTTTTTACAATTACACTGGCATTTCGAATATCGGGAACAATTGGAAAGAATACTGTCGACTGGTTTACCATATTCAGCCCATTGTTTTGCGTTGATATATGCAATGCCTACTTCTGTATAATCGTCTTGTTGCGGATGTATTTGGATTCTGAAAACAAACGAAAAGCCTTGCATCGTTTTATGTGGAGCACATATTTTCTTTTTCTAGTAGCTATTTTTAAATACTTGCTGTGCCTGAAATTGAGCGGGCAAACTAATTTAGAATACAGCGAAGTATTTTCCCCCATATTTGTTCTGCTCCAACTTGTTGCTGTTCGTGCATGCCAACTCCCCAACTCCGTTTAATATGGTACATTGTAACTTTTGCGTTTTATAAACATTTTGATTTTATTAGAAATATGTAAGTTAAGAAGGAATGTTAATTTGCGTTTATCATATGGTCAAATAAAATAGCAAATATTTATAGTAAGCCAAGTCTTATTTTTATTTTACATTGTATGGTAATTATGTTCCAATTTTTTCAATTTCTTCCGTATTGTCGGCATTGAGCTCTTTAATAGTCTTCTTAAAATGATTTTCAATAGCGCGACATATCTCCATCGATTTTTCGCTGTCAACCAAGTTAATGGCTATGCCATTTTTACCTGTAGAAAAAAATACGCGACCATTAATATCATATGTAGCACAATAAAATTGTAATGTCCTATACAAACCGAATCTTCCAGTTCTACCAATGCGATGGAGATAAGTCTCGCAATCAGCTCGACCCTTTGCATCCATTGGTAAGTCGAAGTTTACAACAATTGTAACTTGTTCCACGTCGATTCCTATTATAAATTTAAAAGAAAAAACATTGAACATTGATCCGATAAATTATTTCATTTGTTTGCAATGTCATGACAATAGATTGAATGACCAAATTTTGTCATTGGATAATATTACACACTAACCTCGTGATAAAACGTTAGTAGTAATTAATACTTTTTCCAGTCCAATTCTAAATCTGTCGAGAACTGCCAAACGTTGTTCCACAGTAAGTTCACCTGAGAGCACTGCGACAGAATGTCCATCCGAAGACAACTTTCCAGCAAGCCATCCAGCAGTCTTTCGAGTCTACAAAAAATGATTGTATTATATTTATTACACTAAGAGCTAAAGGTCTGATGGTGGAAAATTCATTTGATAAACGTGTACATAATTGCTTTAATATAATTTTATTATTTATTATGTGTTGAGACGAAAATGCCAATAAATATCGCAATCTGCCAAAAACTAGAAATTTGTACTTATCATTGTATTCGGAAAGTTAAATGTTCAAACTAGGTTTCAATTTATGTTTTTGTAATTATAATACCATAACCACTAAAGTGATAGTTTCGTACGGTATTTATAAACAAAATTTTGTATTGAGTGACATCATATTTCTTCATTAATTAATGCATGGATTATTTTATCGACATTTCTAATTATTTGCATAATTATTTGATATAACATTTCACTAATTTTTAAGCATCTTTTTTTCTTATTGTCCATTTATTTTCAATTGTATTTACAAAGACATTTTCACTTGCAATTGGATTAATCAAGACCAATATGTCTGTATAAATACATCACAGGTCTTTATAAATACAAATTAGTCTGTATAGAGGACGATTAAAAGTGCAGAGTGTCTGTGGTCTCTATAAAGACCAGATCGCTTGTATAAACTCCTGTGGTTCAGACCAATTGGTATTCATAAAGACCTGTTGGCTATATACAGACCTATTGGTCCAATTGGAATTGAAAGTATTCATACAATTCCAATTGAAAGTGTATGTGCTATAATGAACCCCAACTAAGTGAAGGGAAATTTTGTGAAATATGGTATTCTATAACACCAAATGAATGCAAAAAATTAATAAATTTGATGAATAAAAAAATAAATTAATTAATTAATTGAGATCATTGTATTAATGTCGTGCGAACGTAGCAGCACTAGAAAATTAAAACAATTATTTTAAAGCACCAGAAATTTTTATTATCAACAATGCATTTTCGAAAAAAGGAATTTTTTAACTTAATAAAATTATCTTTAGAATAAATGTCGTGTGGTTAAATTTTGACAAATTTATCTAAGAGTTATAGAGATTTAAAACCCAAATATATGAATTTACTATTAAATTGTAGTACTTACATGGCAAAATATTATAGCTTGTCCAATTGTTATACTTCCATATATATTTTGTATGGCTTGATATTTTTCTTCTTCTGAATTACATTTGACATAGTACTGTTTAATGTTGTCGAGGGATTCCTGTTCTCTTCTTAACCTGGAAAAGAAAATACATTCGTAAATAACTTATTTATTCACATAGATTGAAGCATACCTTATAATATTTGCTTCGGGTACAATGTGCTCGGCAAACTCCATTACCTCTTTGTCATATGTTGCAGAAAAAAACAACATTTGACACTTGGGCGACAGTTGTCTAAGAATAGGAAATATAAACAGCAATACAAATTAAATTCACTTATGAATTTCTTACTTATGAATTCGAATACATTGGTCGTGGTGACCCTGCGTAGCGATCATTACATCTGCTTCGTCCAATACAAAAACTCGTATTTTCTTAAGGTCTATGAATCTATACTTTAAGGCCCAATCTAAAACTTTTCCAGGCGTTCCGATAATTATGTGATCAGTAAGTTTTGTGCCAGGAGCAACTGAAGTGAATGTTATAATTGTCTTAATTAGCAATCGTGTAACGTGAGTGAAATGTATTTCGATTTAGAACAAAGAGACTAACCTTCTTCTCCGCGGACCGCAAATTTTAATTTTATATCAGGACAGAATTGTGCCATGCGTGCTGCAGCTTCTCCAGTCTGAATTGCAAGCTCATATGTAGGGGACAAACAAAGAACCTAAAATACAAAAATACAACTCTGATGTAATATTTTATCCTATCAGATAGATTTATTATAATGTAAAATACGACTAAAATGCATTAAACACAAGAATAATTGGAAACAATCCATATGATGAAAATATAATAAAATTAATTGTTCAATTAAGAATATTAATTTGTTTGATTTGTATTCATTTGTAATATTACATAAAATGTCTTGTTCTTTTTAAGTTTGCTTTCAAATCATATTTTGTTCACAAAAGGTACGAATTTACATGAACGTACCAGAACAAAAAGTAGATTTCTTTTATTCGTAAATACATTTTTGCAAATTATTATCCTATTTTTGTTCTGTGGCAATGTTTTCCAACTCTACTCTTAATTTACCAATGAGAGAGATAACACTCATGACGATTAGTGTAAAGTGCGAATAATTACGAATTTACATGAATGTACTAAAACAAAAATAGTTTTTTTTATTCGTAAATACATTTATTCTTAAATCAAAATACATTTATTCTTAAATGCAAAAACCAGGTATAAATATTGACCAATATTTCTCGATATTTATGATAAGGCTGTGTTTGTCGTCGTATTTAACAGCGCCCGCGAGCTTTTGCCTTTGCCAATGTTTGTTTTTTGAGTTTTTTTAAATGAATGTTCTTCATCAACAAATATTCGGGAAAATTGTGTAAGGAAAGATAGAGTAACTTCGGGTAAAGTGGATCACAATTTCCTTTTTTTGATATTGTGGGCGTAACAACGGTAAAAAAATAAAAACAAATTGTTTTCACAACACAGTAGATTTGTTGGCTAAATATATTCCAGGTCAAACAAAATATATGTATTTGTCTATAAAAATGTCAAAAAACTCTAAACTGCTCTAATCTCTAACTCTAATGAGGATCAGTATGTTAAAGGTAGGTAGTGGTTTGGTTGTGATAAATTTCAATTTTTTGCACTCTTGGGCAACAATGAATGCAAAATATATGGGCTTATGTTTTGGAATAGCCCCAATTTAAGGGAAGGTCCTTGCTTCATTATCCAACCGAAGCACCTGTAATTTCGCATATCGACTTTTCAGAGGATAGAATACATCCTCGCGTATTAAATGCGCCCATGTTTCGAACTCGTCCTCGTGAAAAGTTCCCACTATTTTTATAGTGGTCCACATTAAACGACATTGAATATTTTTATGGTCCACATTAGACGCATAGTTCACATTACCCGAAGTTACTCTAACGTTTGCGTGGCCAGCTAGATTTTTTTATAAGACAAACTTTTTTTGCCCCATATCTTTTATCCAGTATACAAATTAGGAAAACGATTCGAACAAAGTGTAAAAATTCAAACATTTTGCTCATTAATTATTGGGCAATTATTTCTAATATCGGCAAGTGCCAGTAGTTGGCATCTGTTGTATACAATCTTAAATAATATACCAAGAAATACCTTGAAAATCTTCAACAATATTGTTACATATCGCTGTGTAAAATGTCATCAAGTTTAGTTCATTTATTCAGCAGGAGTTCAGGAGTTTTCGACACATGCGATAATCCAAGCAAACTTGAAAAAATGGATTGTGTATATATTTGACCGGCACTGCATGTTTAATTATATTTTAGCTCCAAACATTTTATTGGCAATTTTGGTGCGTATGAGATTACTATAAATTACCATGAAATTGAAAAAAAGAATTCTTACCTGAGGATAATCTAATTTCGTGTCAACGCGACTTAGCATTGCAAGGACAAATGCTGCGGTTTTTCCTGTACCAGATTGACTTTGTGCTATCATATTTTGTGGTGGATCCGCTAATAATATTGGTAAAGCATTTTCCTGTATTTTAGATGGCGCGTTAAATCCCATGGCATATATGCCTTTCAAAATTTCAGGTTTCCTAAAAGAACCCGTGTGATTCAACAATGTCAAAAATATTCTCATAACTTACAAGTGTAATTTCTCGAAAGTTTTGACTGAGTATAAAGGTGACGATGGGTCCTGGCGTTGCACTTCTAAATCCAGTTTAGATTCGACCAACCCCTTGCGAATAATTTTCAGTAGGAGACTGGTTTCAGCTGGGCTGTTCAAGTAGATAACATCGAAACAAATAAATTAAATGCATATAACATAAAATCCCAGATAGCATTATAAACAGTTAAATAACTAACACGTATTTTCAATCCCATGTAACACGACCCTTCTGGATTTTTAAACTTTCATCCAAAATTTAGACACAAAGTTGCAAGAATATATATATATATATATTAGGGAAGTCGACACTTCCAAAATACAGATTTGTTAGGTTCACTTAATTGTCTTTACTTAGAAACAACTTTTTATGCGTAGTCAAATTTCCTATTTGTCACAGGAGAAAGTCTTTGATAGAGACCCGGCAATACAACATAAAATTGGAACGGCGCGTGTAAAGTAGACTTGTACTGATTATATTATAATTAAAAACGTATGTGTCACCTTGCTACATCGGGGGCTTCTGCATCATCCTTTGTCTCCTCTTTCTTTTCGATTTCCAAATTGCTAACCTAAAAAACAAAGTTAGTTGTTACTAGAAAATTAATACAGATAATTTTCAATATGCTCACCAATTTAGAGACTTGATCCTCAGCTTTTTTGGCCCAATCCATAGTTTATGACCGACAAAATTAAATTTAAAGTATAATTGAACGAATAAACGATGTCTTGTATACAAAAGTCGAGAAAGGTTCGAGTTGTGTCGGTCTGCAACGAACTGGTTCAAGGGAAAAATTCTTTGAAATGAACCGACGGCACCATGCTTCTTTAGTACAATGTTTTGCTTTCGTATTCACATATTGCTCATTTGCTGCAAGAGAGGCATAACTCAAAAAACGTGATTTTCGAGTTAATGATGCACGATTGTTCGCTAAAAATTGTAAAAAATTCATATGAATTGAGAAGTTGTCTTGCAGCAAATGCGCGATATGTATATGCATTTTTGTTTAAAAATTTGATTTCTTTTGTTCAGCCGCATGACACATGGTATAATAATACAAGGTAGGGCAGCTTGAGGTGAATAGCAAAAAAGCAACTATGCACGTGTGGCTTCTTCTGCCAAAAATAAAATAAATATACGCAACAAGTTTTTGTGTTTATTTGACATTTTTTCAACAAAAAACTAAAAACGCGAAAAATGAATGAAAGGTTATAATTTCTTCCCAAAATCCAGTAGGGAATACCATTAAATGTTTGTTTCATCCATAACAAAGTAACTACTTCCAGACGAACGTGTTAAAAACATAATTTTCATTACTCGGTAAGTTCTATTTCAGTTCTATTGCAAAATATCTCGTAATATCACTTAAAATGCTTGAAATTTACATTTTTTGACTTATTAAGGAATAATATTCATAAAATAACAAAATGTTCTTTGACTTTGGTCATATTTAACAATTTAATACTTATTGAAATACATGGAATTATACTAGATAAATCTAACTGGGGGAAATTTATCCAGTTACCTTCAGTGTAGAACTGTCAAACTAGCTCTCTTTTACTGGACTTTGAAGTAAACAGCAACAGTCAGTAACAATTGTTTCCAAATATCGATTAAACAGATACAGCTTATATAATATAGAATGCATAACGGCGATATTTATTATTCAGAAAAGTTATTATAAGTATAAAAATTATGACTATATTTAAAACGTTGATACTTAAATTTAATATATTTCAAAAAGTGGGTTTGATCTATACAGTTGCAACATTTACTCTGACCAAGATTTGGTACACCTCCCATGTAATAGTTCTTGAAAATTTCACTCTTTTGGTATTTAAAATCGTTAATAATTAGCTGAATTCTATGAATTAAGCCTATAAACCAAGTGACCATGGTGCAATACAAGAGGTATATTAATGGTACCTTCTGATTACATTTTTTCTTTTGTGTGCCCCTGTTCTGACAAAACAATAACACAATTTATATATGTGTATGTAATGTCTTGAAAAGATCAAAAACATTACAGCATGCGGTAATAAAATCTTTCAATGTTTTGGGAAGAAATATTATTATAATTATATTTGCAATCCCATATTATGAAATAATCTTGACGTTTAATTTACTTTTCGCGATATTTTTCTTATTTAAAATTGTAAAAATATTTGAAATAAAGTAAAAAAATGCTGAATATGTTTATATGTAAAGTGACATAATAAGACATTACACTAGACGACAGTTTTTGTAAATTGCGTGAAGTATGCCTACCTCTTGAGGTAGGCTTGTACCATGCAAGTGACGAAAAACTCCCATACAATGGGTCTATAAAAAATTAATTTGTTGGCCTATAAAACCAATTTTGATGAAAATTGGCCGTTTACTTCTGCCTTTATTAGAACGAAGGCAATAACAAGTGTTACAATTTAGATTTTGGACCGCGCTTCAGAACTCCTCCCATAGAAAGCATACTGAAAATGAAACTTTCTATACCATAAAATAGTTAATTGCCATTAAACTCACTATATTTTTATTAATAAAAAATAAAATTCGACATACTTTTGTTACTACCATGCAAATTACCTATAGCCCTGTTTTTGAGGCAAAAATTAATATCAGCGGTTTTAAACGATTTTTTGACTTTTTAAATGATGCATATGTACAAAAAAGAGAAAACGCAGATTTCCACAGTAAAAACCGGATATAACGAACAACGGTTATAAGCAACTACACATATAACGAACAATGCTAATTCTTTCTCAAACATTTTCATTAGTTGTCTTATACATAACAAACCGTTGAAAACGATTAGGGTAGTAAGTTAAAAAAATTTCGACCCCGCGATTAGCTTTTTAAAGGAATAATTATTACAATGTCGTATGTTTTTGCAGAACTATATATACTCCTTAAGGACATAAATATGTAAAAGTGAATTAAAACCATGCTTACTACAGTCGAACACGATTATATGAACAACATTTTTTCATATGCCACTTTTTTATTTTTAATCAATCCTGAAAAAAGTAAAAAAAAAAACAAATTTTTGATGGTTTATATTCTAAGGGGAACTCAAGCCCGCCATTTCCTGTTCTTCACTTTTTATATTTTTTTTCCCATAATCTTTCCTTCGACAACCTATTTGCGGTTTAAGAGTCACGTTATTTATTTTGTAATCAAAATTCGTGTGTATTCGTTTTTTTCGCGGAAAAGTTCTATCTTGCTTGGTCATTCGATGCATCTTGACAAATGTATGCAAAATAACCTAATTTCCTATTTTAATTTGACGTATTTTTCGTCCATATTGTTGTTATTGGCAATTTTACTTGCGGGGACGTTGTGAACAACAAAATGTTTCCTTGCTTTTATTTCTTTCATCAAACCAAATATTGAAAATATTATTGTTTTTTTTCTGAAGTTCGCTAAAAAAAACTGATTTATCTTGAAAAACGCAAAAAAAATGCAATTTGAGACCTATTGGAATCAATTTAGAAGGCTTTCATTAACATATTTCAGTTGTCAAAAGATCAAACAAATTTAAACATTTTAGTAAAAGTCTATCTAAAATGACTTATGTGAAAAAAAAAAATAGCCACATTTCTTTTATTATAGTCAACTATGTAAATTTTGAATCGCTACACAAACGTATTAACAAATATTATATATTAAATAAACAGCACACACCACCGTTAATACTCTCCATGTTTAATTTTTATGCTTATGCTTTGAATTTAGCTGTTTTAAACGTTTTAAAATACGCCTTGATTTTTTAAATTTTTTTTATTTCTTTAATTTTATTTTCAAAGTTTAGAGTTTGGCGACGATTTTCACCGCTTTTAAGACACTTTTACGATCTTAAAAGATCTTACAGATACAGATTCATAAAATTTGACATGTTTTCTTTTTAATGACATCAAAAAAGATTTTATTTTCCAAAATTGAAAAAATGACTTTTTGCCCAAAAAACTGTCCAAATTACCTATAGTGCCATGGTACAATTATAAAAGGTAACAGCAAAGCCCAGCTGCTTTGATTCCAACGTAATACTAGTGTCAATATGAATTTTACAAATTATGTTTTTAAAAATGACCTAGAAAGAAAATTGGGTACGCATACAATTCGAAATTGTTCTTTACAGTTGTTCCCGTAATCAATTTACTCAATCTGCCTGCAAGGAAATTTTAAGAAAGCAAATTTTTGTTCGTGGAATAACTCGCAATTTCCAGCATTTTCATATGTTTTACACATGTGAATGGCAATGGTTCAATTAGAGGATTGATAGACTTTCATTCAGGTTTTTAAATTTTTTGAGGATTAGAAAATATTTCGCTTATAAAATAAATAATTTTATTTATAATTTGTATGTTTTGTTTACATTGTTGATTAAATGACCTTGACACTAGTATTATTTACAACAAATTTCCATGTGGTTGTTGTAGAACAATATTTGCTGTTACCTTACATACATACATTACTGATTTATCATCATTTAGATTTTCAGAAATACATCAGGATTACTTAAAATATTCCATATTATAATTTCGGTTTATTATCAAAATCAAACCTATGGAAATCAATTGGTCTTTTCCGTACTGCAAGAATCTACTAGTTTTTACTATTCTTTTTTTTTGATATCATAAAGGAAAATTCGTTATCGTAGTAACTTGCAGTATCCTTGCAGTACGGGAACAGACCAAATGTATTCGAAAATTAGTGACATAAGCTCCGTTCCAGAACCTAAAATAATCTACTCATTTTACATGTTTTGCAACTTTTTACTCGAAACCCGTTCCTCAACCCACAAAACTGGTAAAACATTGAATAAAATTTAAGAGAGCACAAAACAAAATGGCGTTCTCTTTTTGGCCGAGTAAAAATGGTAAACAGGAATGCCTACTTCTGATTGGCTGTTATGTTGATTTTGAAGTATTGCCATCTAATTTTGGCATATTTACTAGATTTGCGTTCCCGAACTTTTCAAATTATTTTGTACTCTGAGAGCAATTTTGAAATGTTTCCCTTTTAATAGATTTACTTTTAAAAAGGTACTGGAAGTTCCAGTGCCCCAATGGTGGGCAAAATTTCTCTTAAAAATATGTTTAAGGGAAAATAAAAACATGAATTATTCTTCGGAATTTATTAAATTTAATATTTTTAAAGCATAAATAATATCCCAGTAAGTTCAAAAAATAATACATTAAATATTTTTCGGAAAAAAATTTCATTAATGTTTATTTTTCTTTTAACATCAAAAAATGTAAAGAGAACCCATCAACGCTGGTGTGCCCAACTATGTCTGGAACAGACCAGTACATATATTTATTTGAAATTTTTAATCAATTACAAAATAAATGGAAATTATATTGTTAAAACTCATCTGTTATATTACAGTTATATTACACCGCCATCAAATCCCTGTATAAAGTCTTATTTATATGTATATAACACCCATGCAGCATCTAATATATATTTAGAAGACTGCCAATACGCAGAAAACCATTTTACATGTTTGTAAGGTCTGCTATCTCTACCCATTGAATATTTCTGGGTCCCAAAAGGCTTCAAAACTTTATCTATAGATAATTTGTAAAATAATATAAATACTAAGCCTTCTAAGATTTATATTATTTTACAATAGTTATTGTACCTGCATTTTAAAAATTACGTAACTGGTAGGAAGGGGTGCTCT